TTAGTCTCAGATTTGTCACCATTTGACCGACTAAGCAGAAGAAGCACTAAAACACGTCACACACAAATACAGATGTACACGCATATGAACAAAGATACAGGCATATACACACGTATACATGATACATACAATCATGCACACATTAATAAGAACACGCAAACACACAGTAGCACACCCGCAAGCATAGACAAGCGCACAAAAACACAGATATTATTGTAAAACAAACGCACACATGAATGCATATATATATATATATATATATATATATATATATATATATATATATATAAATACATCCATAAATATATATATATATATATATATATATATATATATATATATATATATTGTGTGTATTTAGGCAGCATCTTTTCATTCATGCACGTTTTATTAAATAATATAGACAAGTTCAACGATAATGTTATGAAACTTATCAGACGTTACGAAAACATTTTCCATGAAATAAATAGACAACACTTGTCTATATTATTTAATGAAACGTGCATGAATATATATATATATATATATATATGTAGTTGTATATTTAGGCAGCAATCCTTCCTAATAATGGCTAAAGGCATAGCCGAAAGTGCTCGGTAATATAAAACATTTGGACAGTTCTTATACACCCTTTGTCCAGAAAGGAAAGCTCTTGTCAGAACACAAGAAAAATTAAATAAAAAGCTTAACCGTAGTACCTTGTCTGTTGTTTTTAATGAAACATGCATATCTATCTATCTATCTATCTATCTATCTATATCTATATATATATATATATATATATATATATATATGTGTGTGTGTGTGTGTGTGTGTGTGTGTGTGTGTGTGTGTTATATATATATATGTGTGTGTGTGTGTGCGTGTGTGTGTATGTGTGTGTGTGTGTGTGTGTGTGTGTGGGGGTGTATGCGTGTGTGCGCGAGGGCGGGAAAACCTGAGGAAATGGAAGTCAATGAAAGGGAAAAAAGCAGTTAACAAAGTGATGAAATCGTTTCCTCTTTTTTTAAAAAAAAACAAAACAAAAAAAACTAACTCATTAACCTCTGTTCGCACCAATTCTCAACCATGTTGATTCCCCCACCTCCCTATCTTAAATTCTCTGTTGAAATAAACTTGTTCCTTGTGTCAAATATCAAAGTTAAATTTAGGATCATTTTTCTCTTGTATTTCGTCATCGCCAAGCACTTCGTTTGTAAGTAATTCAAGGTCGTTAAGGACCATCTGTCGAAAAAGAAGTAGTAAGACTCTAAGCAGACAGCATGTCTCCATATTGAACATGTAGAGATTGTAATTCTACTCGGGATAGAAGATTGTAAAATGATGATGTATTAATGGCTTCCTAAGGGAGATAACTGCGGAAGGACCTAAGCAAACAAGTCAGCAACAGTGTCTGGGTTAGATATATAGAAAATTCTTCTGTATTTATATACAAACGCTCTCTTCCAACATCCTGATATCAAAACTAATACATGTCACATAAAGATCTTATTTGAGTTTAAAAAACAAATTAAGGAAAAGAAACAATAAATAAATAAATTAAATAAAAAAAAATCCAATCTCCGTTCTAAATTGAGTCAAATGTTTTATTCGTATTTCAAACTTTAATTTCAAACTATATCACATCACATTCATTTAACTTCTGCCACCATAGCGTCAGAAACTCAAATCCACTTATGAGATTTGGCTGCTTTAGAGGCAAAATATACTCTACACGTGTTTTCAAAGACATTTCCATTATTTACACTTTTCGGACTGTTGTCCTCATCCTTATTGCCATATTCAAGACGTTTCGGCCGCTGTACGCCCCGGCATATAAAGGGAAAAAGGAGATCACCTCACTCTTTGGTATGACATTGAAATAATAGACGGAGAACATCACTGGGAAATACGAAAACTTAAGGAATCAGCACATATGCTAGGCCACAAAAATCTCCAGAGCCGACCAAGCATAGAAATGAATATAAGATGGAAACCAGCAATACGGCGGGATAGAGAAAAGTAATAATAACGACAAAATTGTAATATGAGCTCTGGTAAAATTGTTTACTGAGACATATAAGTCCCGAAAATTCATACACTGATTGGATCCAGTGATTTCAGCCAAAGAGTTGTGAGTTCAATACCTGGCTACTGCAGTGTTGGGCAAAAAAACTTGGAAAGGAGTTAAAAACATGGAAAGTTGAGTCAAGACAAAAAGTTGGAGGAAAAACTGGAGACACCAATAGAGGAAGAGGCATGGCACGTGGAACGAGAACAATTTACCAGGGAGGACGAAAATACAGGGTTCAGTTCGAAATTTCGAAGACCAGAGCGTACAACGGCTGAAACGACATTGAACAACTGTCCGAACAATTTACCAGGGAGGACGAAAATACAGGGTTAGTTCGAAACACTTTATTTCAGAAAAATATGAACAACGAACAATCCCAATTGTTGACTTTATTTCAGAAATCAGACACAAAAGAACAAAAAAGGTGGTTATATATTATGTTAAATGTATCGGACAGAAATGATTTTCAATTGGTTGTATCTTTTATGTTAAGTGATGCTTGGCAATCATGGTTCTCCACTATTCCGTGTCCTTTGTAGCACTTAATAAATGTTTGCTTTTTCTCCATTTACCCAAACTCGCTAAGTTTGGTTATGCGTTGTTTTCATTTGTCCATCTTGGCTTCAATCTGTCTTTCCTAATTATGTGCCCGAGAAATTTCAACTGTCCCTTCTGGATGTCATCTGTCTCTTATGAATCTTATTCTTTTAATGTACTCTCTCGCCCACCAAGTTTTCCCCAGTTTCTTTCTCTCTTAGTAATCTCTTGTGTCTTAGTGGCTTTATCGCCTTACTTGAAATGGCTGAAAAAGGTCTATCTATCTATCTATCTATGAAGGGATGTGGCACACAGAAGACGAAGATTATTTAAAAAAGCATCTGTCTATATTTCTGAGATGAGGTATTCTGTACACTATTTACATTATTCGGACTATTGTCCTCATCTTTGTCGCCATATTTATCACAACGTTTCGGCCGTTATACGCTCCGACCTTCTTTAGGTGGTTGGAATGTCGAAATAAAGGGGTTAGTTCGACATTCCAACCACCTAAAGAAGGCCGGAGCGTACAACGGCCGAAACGTTGTGATAAATATGGCGACAAAGATGAGGACAATAGTCCGAATAATGTAAATACTATAAAAAAGCATCTACTTTAAAAGCAGTTTTTTGCTGCTCTGGAAATTTAAGAACATCTCGCTTTTCATTCTTATAGATCATTGGTTCCTCGTGCCACGTCTACGCTACGCTCAGAAAATCGTTTTGGGCACTTTGAATGGGTGTAATGGTTAACAAGCTTGTCGCGCTAGATCAGTTACAACTGAATAGTGAGTTCGATCCTCACTGAGTTCTCCATACTTTCGGCCTTGTGCCACATCTAAGCTATGCTTATTAAGTTTCTATATGCATGTATATATTTTATTAAATGAATTTTTAAAAAAATAAATGAATATTGTTTAAATTTATTTAAATCGATTCATATAAATGCGTGTTGGGTCACTTCGTTATAATATAATAGTTAACAAGGTTGTCTCACTTGATCCATTACGACTGAATAGAGAGTTCGATCTTCGCTGGGTGCTCCATACTTTTGGCCTTGTGCCACATCTATGCTAACCTTAGAAAATCTTTTGGGACATTTTGAAGTGGTGTAATCTTTAGAAAGTCTCGTTAGATCAATTCCAACTGAATAGTGAGTTCGATCCTCACTGGGTAATCGATAATTTCAGCCTTGTTCCGCATCTACGTTATGCTTATTAAATCCCTAAATATATATGTATATATTTTAATGAATGAATATTGTTTAATTTTATTTTAAATCTATTCATATATACGTGCGTAGGAGCACTTCGGTATAGTATAATGTTCAGCAAGCTTGTCTCGCAAGATCAATTACGATTGAATAGTGAGTTTTATTCTCGTTGGGTGCTCCATACTCTCGGCCTTGTGCCGCATCTACGCTAAGAAAAAACACAAAAGAAGGAGAAATCTCTGTGCTACTTTCAGTTCATGCCTGCTGATTAAATTCGTCGAACTTTTGTGTAAAATATCGTTGTGTATTTTTCTAGCAAATTTTGTATTTTTTTTTTGCTTATCTTTATTCAAAATCTTTATTTGTAATAAAGTGTAATAAAAATAATTTAAAAAAATGGTTGAATATAGTTGCTTGTATTGAAAGAATCGCTGTCCTTTCTATGTAAATGATATTCTTAAATATCTACATAAACAGAGTAAATATCATCGTCCCTCAGCGTGTGTGTGTTGTAGAGCAGGAGAGGAATACTTTAAAGTTCACGTTCCATTCAGTAATAAACTTTTATTTCATCATGTCTGAACTGCTTGAAATTCAAAATTGATTTTCAGTGAAAATTGTATCTATTTGAATCGCAAAATAACCACCTGACTTTTATCAGCGAAAACTAAATGAATTATTGAAACTTAAATATTATCAATATTTTTCTTGAAACGTAAAGATGGAAAAGTCACCAAGCAGACATATTTCAATAGCACAATTCGTATATGTCACCTCATTCAAGCGAATTAAAGATATTTCTAAATGTCAGGAAAAATGAAAGAAAAAATATTCTTCAAATGGATTATAAGAGGCATCACTGCCAAAGAAAAGAATGGTTCATTTAAAAAAACATAAAAAACATATTGTATGTTAGCTTTTCAAAAATTGACTTTTGTATTTATAACGAACTGGAAAAAATTAAATAGACAGACGATTAAAAGAGGAAATAAAAATGAACAATAAAAACGAATTGTGACTGGCCTCTGAAATTGTTGTTCGCTAAGATTAACCGCATTCAAAATAAATAATGATATATATATATATATATATATATATATATATATATATATATATATATATATATATATGCATTGTTAAAATTTGCAACATTTAAAGGGCAAGAATACTCAATAAAGAGTTTATAGATACAGACAGGGAGACAATACACTATCTATCTATCTATCTATCTCAGTCTGTTCGTATCTATCTATCTATCTATCTATTTTTTTAAGCGTTTCACACCAAGCAAGGCGGGAAGCCACTAGGACGCAAGGGGTTAAAGAAAATTTGGAGCAAGATCAGATAGGAGTGATAGAAGAAAGGATGAGGAGATGGACAGTGGATAGATTAAGGCAACTGGAGATGTCGATTGACATTACATTTGAATAGTTGGAGATTATAGCTCTCAGGGAAACTGGAATAGGGAAGGGAGTTCCACAGGCGAGAGGTGCGAGACATGAAGCTATTGGAGTAGAAGAGACGGCTACATTTAGGAGTTTCGACAGTGAATGGCTGAGAGCGGTATGCCAGCCTCGTAAGGCACTTGAACTCGCGAAGTCTGGGAACAATTATTTGCAATTGCCATGAAATTATTTGTAAAAAAGACAGAGAGAGAGGCGACGGCACGTCTGTGAGAGAGTGACTGTAGACGAGATGCCAGAACAGGGCCAATTATATTGCATATCCGCCTCTGGAGCCTATCAAGAACCCCGAGGCAAACAGAAGCAATACTCAATGCAAGGGCGAATTGTTGATTTGTAGATCTGCAGGATCGATTCTGGCGAGAAAAATTTCCTGGCGCGGCACAGGGAGCCAACTTTCCTTATCTATCTATCTATCTATCTATCTATCTATCTATCTATCTATCTATTTTAGTCTGTTTTTATTTTTATCTATCATCATTTTCATAATTATCTATCGAAGTCTATTATATCTATCTATCTATCTATCTATCTATCTATCTATCTATCTATCTCACTTTGTTCATATTTATCTTCTTCTGTTCATCTATCTATCTCTCTGACCATGAGACCCGGGTTCGAATCTCACCAGGGTTGATTTGTCAGGAAGGAGATTTCCTGACGTTATCGGTCTGGAGCTGGACGATCCCAGCGTGCAGCATCTTTGGAAAACCATGCCACGGGTTGATCCAAGCCGTGTGAGTGAAATTGGGTTAGACGGAACACTTCGGAGACCGTTGATACCTGAACTAGCACGAAGTCACAAGTCATCGTGACCGAGGGTTTGAGTGTGCTGTTCAGATTGTTGATCAGGCTAAATAAAACGCTCTCTTCCAGAAACTGTAACTAAGGTCTGGTGAGCATAGAAAAAAAAAACACAGTTTGGCTGTTAACAAACACAAATGTGTCTGAATGAGCGTCTGAATTAGGGATTAGCTAGCCGCCTTAGTAGATGATTATCCTCGAATACAAATAGACAGCTATTATCTATCTATCTATCTATCTATCTATCTATCTATCTCATTCTGTTCATATCTAAGTCTATTCATATCACTATTTTTCCTCGGAAATTTATGCTTAGGATCAGAGTGTAGTATCTGTGCGCTCTGTTAAAAGTTTTACACAGACGTACAGCTACATATATATATATGTGTGTGCGTGTGTGTATTGAGCCTTCAGATTATTTTATATTTTACGCTTTAGCTTTTATTCATACTGTTTTTATATGCAGAAAATCCAAGGGTTTCTAAATATATATATTGGAAGTACAATGAATCAATTTAAAAAATCGTTTCTGTTATCATCTCTCATTCTTTACTAATGTGGATAACCGAAATACGACTTCACATTCTAAATGGAAATGGAAAGAGGAAAATAAAACACATAAAGTTAAATGGAAAATTCTCAAATAAGCTAGAATCTCTAGATCTGTGAACGAGACATGCTTCCTCTGTCTGTAGGAAAAAATGAAAATAATTAAGTTCTTGAATAGTGAAATATTATTAAATCAAAGATATGAAACTACAGTAAATTGTAAACATATCAGTTTTCAAAGAAAATTCGAGGTCTTCAGTTTTATGTAATTTGAATAATTTCATACGAACTGTATATATATTTATTGCATATAGATTGCGTTGTGCATGAAAGTGCGGGTCATGCTATCGGTGAGGGATAATATGTATATTTATTAAAGAAAGAGATGGAAGGTACTTGGAAAATAAAAGTGATTTTCACTGTTACAGTGTATTTCTTGCTTTATTTAATTGTGATGTACGGAAGATTATTCGTGAATAGGAAAGGATTATGATCAAAATAAGCAGATATAATATTTGTAATTTATTTAATCAGACATGCCTAAATGAGAATTTGCTGCCTAAATACACACACACACACATGCACGCACACACACACTTGTGTGTGTGTGTACAAATAAATATATAGGTGTGTTTGTGATTTTATGTGTACATATAGTTATATGTATATGTGGATGTCTGTAAAATAACAAAGTTCATAAGATAGTGAAGTGATTCGTCCAGTAATTAGGTAGCCTCCTCGAATGCGACACAAACAATTGTCCAATTATTTTGACTGATTCATTATAGTTGATCAGGTTTGTCGAATGCAGAAAGTCGGCACACACGGTTGCACACAAGTTAGAGATAACTGCAAACAATCATGGGAGGCTGGCGCGCGGAAACATCTCATCATATATATATATATATGAAGAGAACAACAAAAAGAATAAAATAGATATGACCAAACTGAGACAGCTAGTTAGATAGATATTGAACACACTTACACACACACACACACACACACACACATATATATATATATATATAGAGAGAGAGAGAAAGAGAGAGAAACAGAATTAAATAATAGATAGATAGATAAAAAAAGAATTATATATATATATATATATATATATATATATATATATATATATATATAATGCTAAAACACTAATATTCCATGGTTATAATTTATTACATTGGAATCGTGATCACGATCTAATTCATCAGACCTACAAATTCAAAAAGAAATCCATATATATATATATATATATGGTGAGAGAGAGAGAGAGAGTAAGAAAGAGATATATAGATAGATAGATAGATAGATAGATAGATAGATAGACACACACACACACACACACACACACACACACACATATATATATATATATATATATATATATACATATTAGTGTTTGTACATAATATCTAATGTCGGTAGCACAACTTGGAGTTTCATTCAATTATGTAATCTTCAGGTACTGAATATATATATCGTGATAGATAGATAGATAGATAGATAGATTGACGTAGGTATATAAAAATGGAGATAGTGTGATTGATTGATAGAATGAGACAGAGAAAAAAGAGACAAATAAACTAAGTTATGCATAGACTATGATAGATCCGTGTCTGTCTGTCTAGCTAGGAATACATAGTCAACGTAACATTGATAGAAACACTTGAATATCTGCCCATCTATCTTGCCAACTGGCGAGTTAGAAAGATCTGAATATATTGACATAGATAATTACAAGAAAGACGGCCTGCCTTGTGTTCTGTATTTCGACACTAAACCTTGATTTAAATTCTTTCTTTCTCGCCGATTTAACCCAGAGAAAAATATTTTTTTTGCATATTTTGGACATTATTTTTTAATTATAATTATATATATATATATATATATATATATATATATATATATATATATCAATCTATCTATCTGTCTATCTATACATATAGAAATGATCTCTCTCCTCCCCTCTCTCTCTCCCTATATATATATATATGTATATAAATATATATATATAAAAATAGATGTTCTTATAGATATTTTATTTTACAAAATAGTGAGATGAGCATTAATATTATAAATTACACTATTTGCATTATTCGCCCTAATTTTATTTTTCCTCATAGTTCTATTTTCTTGAAATATTTGAAGATGAAATAGAACAACGTTTCGGCCTTTCAGTTTTATCTGTCTAAAAAATATTTCAATTAATTTATAATATATAATATAGGTATATATAGATACATTATTTTACATTTTATTCCGACTATTGTCCTCATCTTTGTTCATATTTATTACAATTTTCTGTCATATTTCGAAGTGAATTATTATTTACATTATTTATTCGACAACGTTGCCATATTTATTACAACGTTTCTACCGGTGTTGTACGCTCCGTAGACTGTTCTACTTCCACGTACCATGTTTAATGAATGTCAGTTATTAGTTATCTCCTATTAATTTTCCCTCTGAAAGTTCTCCACTGCCTTAACAGCGTATTGAACTCACTCTCTTTGTGTCCTGTCACTGGATCTAGCCAACGCCTTTATCCACTGTGGATAAAGGAGATAACTGATAACTGACATCCATTAAACATGGCACGTGGAACTAGAACAGTCTACCCCAGTGAGCGAAATAAAGGGTTCAGTTCGACATTCCAATCACATGAAGAAGGCCGGAGCGTACAACGGCCGAAACGTTGTAATAAATATGGCGACAAAGATGAGGACAATAGTCCGAATAATTTAAATAATATATATAGATCATTTCTGTATTGATCTCTGACGAAGCTTTAATAAAGCGAAACATGTTAGATTGAGATATATCTCCTACTTGTTCTTTACCCTATCATTTTGTCGAATACCTATCCATACTTGATCTATATTTGATTTACTATTCACACACATGTACACACACAGACACACGCACACGCGCTCACACACACACACATATATATATATATATAATCTTCAAATAATCTTTTTATAATCTTTTCCCAAAAATTGTTCTTAATATATAAAAGTTTATATATCTTTATCCATATCTTTTATATATCCAGTCATTTGCCGATTAGATATGTGTCTACGCCATGCAAACACAAACACATCCATCTTCTTACATGTCTTGAGATATATTTTATCTTGGTATATACCATATTTGATTGAATAGAAACCCACATCGTTTTTCAGCGAAAAGTTTTGCCAACGAAAATTTAGATTGATGTCGAATGTTCTGGAATTTCTTCGTTTGTTTCATTTAAAAAAATCTTCATTTTTTTTTCCCTTTTTTGTTGCCCTTATTACAGATTTAGGAATATTTTGGCAAAAACCGCTCCTTTCATCATCTCAAATTCGGAAAGTTGTTCTTATTATACATAGTTTTATAAAGGTGCATCTTTGGCGGGGATCATGTCGGCTTAGCCGGTGACTTGAGGACAAAAACCCTTCAGATCTAACGCGTTATAATTTTCGAAGGTCGATTGATACAGAGAAACATATGATACATTTATATCTCGGTATAAATGAAAATAAGAAAATCAAACTCGAATGTCAAGTTGTCTTGGCAGAGTTTGCGACAGGAATTTTCTGAGCGTTAAGGTTGATTGATTGTAAAATACGGCGGAAGAGTCTGAATGAATGATTCTAAGATGATCTCAAAGGAAAGTTTTGCATAACCCTATGTGACCACAAATGATATTTACTCTGTCCCCTTACTAGGACGAGATGTGATACAAGGTTTATTTTTAGGTGGGGACCCGAGTGCGTACACCCGGGACAGGAACAAAAATTCCCCTTAGCCCCAGCAACTGTCGACTGCGCTGGCCTCGGTGCGAGCACCGATCCCTCCCTCTGGTGCAATGGGAGGGCGCGGCCTCAGGCAGCTGTTCCCCAGGGCTGGGTACCTCTTCTGTATTATTTTCCTCAGTTGCCCCCCTGTCCTTTGACAGAGAAGCCCCGGGGCTCACTCTGCCCAATGACGCAACTGAGAGATGATAAGTAGATGCGGCCTTACTCAAAAAGAGTAAGGTATGCGCTGATCACTAAAGTCATGGAGCCAGCCGCTAAGTAACCTTATTTGTCCTACAAATGCTATGGATGATCATGTGACTAATCAGTAACTAAGAAGCTCTTTACATTATTTACATTATTCGGACTATTATCCTCATCTTTGCCGCCATATTTATTACAACGTTTCGGCCGTTGCACTCTCCGACCTTCTTCAGATGGTTGGAATGTCGAACTGAACCCTTTATTTCGCTCACTGAGTGTTGAGATGTTGAGTGTTTCCCCGTGCGTGTATTGAAATAAGGACAAACACATACGTAGGGAAAAATACTGATATATCTGAAGAGGTATTTACAACAGAGAGATTAGTAGTCAAACGAACGCAGGTTAGTCAGTAACAATCTGAAAGAGTATAAAGTCCAACGGTATCTTCCGGTAGAGAGACGGAAGTGTGATGGTCACCTGATCTTCCCAGAACTCTATAGAACTGTCCTATTAGTAGTAGAGAGATCAGTCCATTCTGATGAGAAGGTAGGTGGCCCCAACACTGAGATAGACTGTTCTAGTTCCACGTGCCATGTTTCATGGATGTCATTTATCAGTTATCTCCCGTTAATTCCCCTTTGAAAGTTCTCCACTGCCTTAACCATATATTGAACTCACAATCTTTGGGTCTTGTCACTGGATCTAACTAACGCCTTTATCCACTGTGCCATGTGTCTTTGAT